AACCCGTGAACCACAGACTCCTTGTCCTTGGAGGGAACAGTTCCTGGCTCTACTGACTACTGCTGGTGATGAGTAAATATCTCCAGTCGGTCCCCGCACAGTGCACTCGACAGATGACGGAACATGCATGGTGCAGTGAGCACGAGAATTGGGAGTCTTCATCACTGGGCACCAGGCGGTCCAGTCAGATGAGCACATCATTGAGGATTCGCTTGTGAACTCTGTGGAGACTGAGGTGCATGCGGACAAGCAGCTTGCGGAGGCCAGGGATTTTGACCAACTTCAGCTTGATGTAGAAGAGGAGAGACAATGGCGACTTCAAAGGGACAAGGAGGAAGAAGAACGACAAAGGTTTGAAGAGCAGGAGCAACAACACCTGCAACGAGAGGCCCAAGCGTGTCGTGAATGGGAAGACGCTCAAGCACGAGAAGAACTTGGTGTGCCGGCAAGGGCTGCGAAGCTGCACCATGTTGCTGGAGGCGTCGTCTTGTTCGACCGGAAACCGAGGGTTACACCCACCGTTGCGTTTGATGTTCCCATAAACGGGGACGCCTTGGTTCTCTCTGTGCGTGCCTCCATGGAGTGCGATCCCAGTGAAGTCACGACGGTTCCCGTTCATATACCGGGAGCGGCTACTGCTGGTGTGCACGACGGCATCCTGGCGCCGGCCAACACACCGGGGTACATACTGCTCGAGTTTGCAGAATATGAGGCAATCTATGCAGAATGGCGAGCTGGCACTTTGACAATGGAGACGATTCGATTTCACTTCTGCAGGCGGAGCTAGCTTTGTCTGAAGAGGTCGACCAAGACGAGGGACACAGGAGTGGCATGGACGGTCTTGCCGCGGTTGCGGACACGTGTCTGCAGGAGAGAAGTGGGTCGGAGCCTGCATGTGGCCTGGCAACTTCATCGTTGACTCGGAGTGGGGGCCCGGCTATGGTGACGCAATCTCTGCCTGAAGTGGTTGCTGGGCTTGGTGCACCGGAGCAGCAAAGAAATTCGCTATGCCGCTGTGGACTGTTTGAGAATGTGGTTGGCCAGCGGAAGACTGGTTTGAAGACGAATGAGGAGGTGACTCGGTTGTTTGGGCCGATATGGACATGGCTACATCTCTTTCAGCAATAGCGAACGTGGGGTCTTGATGCCATATGGTGCTACCAGGAGGACATCCTGGACATTGGAGCCAGACCCCTGTCCGATGTCTCGTGATCTTTGTGATCGTCCTTTGCCGTTGCCGCTGCAGGTGGTCTGGAAGGTTTATGTCCGTTGGGTTGCTGGTCAGCTAGCAGACAAGTATGGCTCAGAGTGGCTGTTGATCTTTCAAAAGTTGCACGCTGGAGATATGACAGCTGCCCGTCCGCTC